TATATATGTCTTGTTTTTAAAACAGTTAAATAATTAGTAACTACTTCCTTATACCTCCTCATATACTCAGTGAAGTTGTGCATAATAGATGTCCAATAGTTATTCATTTAATTTGAATTAATCTTTCTCTATTCACTAGGGCAAGCTGACCTGGCCAAAGTGCCAGTAGTCTGCCTCCACCTCCCACTCCCCCTCCTTTATTTTTTTTTTTAACTGTAGGCACTTAAAAGCAGACAAGAAAACCAATTTAAAAGCAAACTGATGCATAAGTTGAAAATAAACCAGAGGCTGCTTGAGAGCTAGGTTTTTGGCTAATACTCTTGCCCAAATTTACTCGGCTAAGAAAGTTCAGAGTGAAAATTCGAACCCAAGTTTGTCTCTCTCCAAAGCCAATGTAACATCATAATTAAAAGCTAAATAACATGTACACCATATGTCTGTAATTAAAAGCTAAAATAAGAAAAGATAAAGCTGTCAGAAGGATGCTTTTACTTTTTATTTTTAAAAAATCACAAATAAATAAAAATTCTACAACTACATAGGTAAAATGTGTGATGTATGATAGATATTGTGTGAAGACTTACTGTCTGTAATTAAAAGCTACAATGACCAAAGAAAAACTGCCCTCAGAAGGATGCTTTTACTTTCATGTGGATTTTCAGTTTCTTATTTTAAACAGCTTACTGGTATGGACTATTGCATTTGTATTTCTTAAACAACTAGCTGTGCTGGCTGAGGCACCTTCTCTTCAGATACCCCCTTAGCACATGTGTTGGTCTAAAGCTTTCCCACCTCTCTTAGTGGTCCCATCTGACTTTGTAGGTGAAATGCCACATCTGCTTCATAATGACCCTCAATTAGTTTCCCATCTTGTATGCCTTTCACTTATGAACTGGGGGATATTTGCGGTGTAGGCATATACATCTAAGGTTGAGGATCACAATCAAACACCATGATCTAATGCCTGAATAACTGAGGTGGGAAAAGGGAGGGGAGCATTCGACACTGGGAGGAAATCCGCAAGTTCCTTAATAGTGGAAAGATTTAAGCCTCCATTTCTTCTTCTTTTTTTCCTCCCAACCCACCACCTGAGCGTCTCAGGCTGCTTATTTCCCATATTGTTTGGAGTTTAGGGCTAGAGCCAATTTCTCTGAGGATGCTTGTTCTTGACTCTTTTTGAGAATTAACAAATGTTTCCCAGAAGAAAAAAAGAACCCAGGACCTCGCCATATAATTAAATGGACCTAATGTATGCCAAATTATTCATCTGCTGGCTGGTAAAATCAACATCGCACATTGGGCATCAATGTCCCACTTTTCATCTAAATATCCATGCTATTTGAAATCCAGTGAAGGGGGATTAAGCAATAATGGCCGGGATGGATTACCCAGTAGGCAAGGTAAGCACATGCTTACAACAAAACAACTGCACCAGTTATCCAAAGACCCATAGCTACCAAGCAGACATGACACAAGGAAAAGTGAGTGCCACAGTGGAAGGGAACTGTCAGGGCACTAAAGGAAAATTGATACCAGCTCCAGTGTGTGAGAATGTACCAGCATGAAGTAAAGTTCACACAGGGTCACGAGAGTGTCCACGTGCAAGATTATTTAAGCTAGGAGGCCCCTACCACTTCAACACCTTTATTGACATCTGTTTCCTATGGTCCCCTCCCGTGAAATTGAAACTCCTTATTTTGGCAAGTCTCTTGGGAGTATACTGTTTCTTTCTAATAAACAAGAGGTAGGAGTGAGCTATCAAGTCTAACTCTTGCTGCATTCACCCAATATGCAACTGGATCCAACGTTAGTGGTTACTGGGCAAGGACAGATTATATTAAACAATGTATATATACCTGATGAAGAATACATGAAGGCATCCAAGCAATTAGTGCAGGCTTATCCCGATGACTTAAACACAAACCTTTATGGAGAAGTGTGACAATTTCATTCTCACATGAGAATTAAGTTTACAGATTCAAGAAAGACAAATTTTACTCATGCAGGCATGTATGATTTCATAATAGAAGATAAAATATAATGCATATTTCCCAATGTTGGAATTGCTTTACCCATATTCCTAACTTTAATGATCGCAAACTGCACGACAGAACACTCATTTTCAGCCCTAAAGAGACTCAAAAACCCTCAGCGTACAACAATGATTCAGGAAAGTTTCTATTCATTATCCTTATTATGTATGAAGGCAGATATTTTTCAGCAGCTTATTTGTGATGAAAGTATTGAAGAATTTGTAAGAGCAAAAATAGAAATAAATTTTTTAAATTAGAACATGTTAGAGACGAAAGATCTATCTAAAAATAAAATATAGTAACTGCTTGTAATATTTGTTTTCTGATTATTCAGTTTTCTTTTATGACATCTTTTCATTTGTTCATTTATAATATTTATGACAAAACAAGCATCAAAATTGAAGTATGAGCCGTTTAAAACAAATTTGGCAAA